ATCCATTAAAGATAGCCAGCTATGATAATTCTCTGAAGGTAAATGACCAGCTCGTGATCCCTATGCCTGGAATGCCCTTTCTGTCCTTCTGTCTGGCAAAGTCTTGCTCTCTGTCAAGATCCTAAGTGACTCCCACTTTGTGAAGTTCCTACCATTCCATACTCATAGTTCTCCCAAGAACTGAGAAAGCACTAGCATTTTACATAATCTATATCTGGTGCTGCTGTTTGGTCTTTGTAACAAAATCTGAGTGGTATGTATGATCAGAAGGTTGTTAGGAGCCCAGTTGCTCATTGTCACAAAAGCAGAAGGAAGAAAGCCAGAATGAGCCCTGGGTTGGGTATTGGGGTGAAAAAACAATGAAAGTAGCTTTATAAATAAGGAAACAGATGGGCTCTGTGTTTTAGGCACTTCCTACTGGCTGATCCTTATAAGTACCTTGGATAAAGAAAGGGTTTTCCCCATTTTGAAGACGATGAGAATTTAAACATATCCACAGTCACACACAGCAAGTAGTTAAACCCATGGCTATATTGCCGAATGTCTCTTTCATGGCAGTTGCTCAGCTCATGACTTCAGGACCCTAGGGTTAATGGTATTGGGATGTGGACTGCCACCTCCCGTGGTCCATGAAATAAGTGTCTGCTTAACAATGTGATTCAAAGGAAGGCTGCCTGAGCTTAGGTCGCTGCAGTATTCCACAGCATACCTGTCCCTGGCTGATTCTCGGGATCCTTCACATTTGCCCTTTCTGTAGCCCTAGCCTAAAGGACAGCAACTTGTGAGCCAGCAGTTGATGTTCTATACCGTATGCCCTTCTCTACATTCTTAGGCGTTTTCTGGATTGTTACAGTACTTCTCTTCCTCCATTGGTCTGTGATGTGGTTTGAATGTGAAATGTCTCTACAAGATCTTGTGTTTGAACACTGGGTACCCAGCTAGTGACCCTGTTTTGGGAGGCTGTGGAACCTTTAGGAGATGAGGTCTAGCCAGTGGACCAACCTAAGGAGTTATATAAGCCAGCCTTGGCTTTCAGCAGTCTCTTTGTTCATGATTGCCACAGGGCTGTCATCTACAGCCTCATGTCCCCATTACCGCAGCCATGAGCTGCTTCCACTGCTGAGGCCTAGCTATCATGATAGGCTGTATTCACAGAACCCTGAGACAGAGTCAGTCCTTCCCCACAGAGGTGCTGCTGTGAGGATTCTGTCACGACAAGGAGAAAAGCATCGAAGACAGTTTAGGACCTCCTCTTTCAGGCGGTTCTGCTTCCTCACCCCTGGCACTGGTAACAGTAAAGCTGTAACTCTTGTGTGCTGTTGACTTTGCTACTTAGGCACCTCAGGGGAACCAGTGACCACAAGAGGACACTTTTGCAGCCCCAATTTACAGATGAGAAGTCAAACCAAGAAATGTGAAAACACTTGTCACTTACTAACCAGAGGGAAACATTGAAATTTTTGGTTGATGGGTGTGTTCTTTTTCCAAACTACTTTGAAAACTGGCTAATGTGTCAAGCTACTCAATTACTAAATTCCAAGACTAATTCGACACAAAATGTTAAGCAGTATTTCACTTTATAGTTATACTAATACACTTAACGTTAGATACAGACTAAACTGTGTCTGTTTCTTAAAAGGTTTCTTTTGAGTTTGTTTTGTAGTACTGGAATCAAGCCCAGGATCTTAGGCATGCTCAGTGAGCTCTGTGCCCTAAGCCCTGCTTCCTGCCCTTAATTGTTTTTACTTGGCCTTCTTTTTTCTTAACATGTCTTAAAAAGATTAGCCATGCTTCAGTGTTTGTGATTTGCTCTCTGTGTGAAAACACTGTTCGTTGCCTTCCCTACACTGTGTTAGTCGGCATGGGGTTGTTTCCGTGCTTTTTCTGTGGAGTAAGGCTGCTGTGGCTGCTTGACAGTTTCATGTGGACATACTCTTCCTTTCTCTCTGGGAAATGCCTCAAAGTGGGTTTACTCTGTTACAGTGAGGACACTCCTAAATTTAATAAGAACTGCTTTGAGTTTTCCACAGTGGTAACAACATTTGACACACCATACAGCAGTGTGAGGCCCTGATTCGTTCTCATTCTCTCCAGGATTTGCCCTGGATCAAACATATTTTAACCCTTCCTGTGGGTGTGTAGGGTCATCTTACTGTGGCTAGGGTTTGTGTTAATCTTCCCTTCACTTGTGTTTATAGATTATTTCTTTATTTCCTTTAGAAGATCTATTCAAGTCTTTCACAAACTTTTGTTATTCCATCATTTGTCATTTGTTAATTTGTGTAGGAATTTCTTCTATGTCCTGACTCCCTCAGTGTGCTTTGTCTAGTCAGGATCTGAATGGCACTCATGAGCATCTATTCAATATAAGTATCCACTCATTCTATCAGTGTTGGTTAAAGAGACTTTCTTTATGGAATTGTCACAGCAGGGACTCTGGAGCTGGGACCCTGAGGTCTTGTCTTAGCCTAGCTACTATGTGGCCTCAGTTTCATATATATATACATATATATATATATATATATATATATATATATATATATATATATATATATGTATATGTATATATTTTTTTTAAAAAAGGTCATTTAATATTAGTGCCTTCTTAGGTGTTTTGGAGTTGAATAAATTTGTCTGCATTTATCCTCAGTAAGGTGCTTGGAAAAAAACTTTGTATATCACAGGTGGTTGGCAAATACTAAGTGTACATAAACCAGATCCAGTCAGCATTCATTGACTTTATTCTTTTACTCACAGTCTGGCTAGCCTACAGCATGGAGACTATATCATAAATTTTTTTCAGCATCCTGCCTGTAATTTTTACATTTTCATAAAGGTTTTGGTGAAACTATTATGATGCCTATTGTTTTATTTTGATGATTGATTGATTCTTTTGAGAAGGAGTACATACTGTTACCCAAGTTGTCATCAAACTCTTAGCAGTGATCCTCTTGCCTCTGTTTTCTGAGTGTTGGGATTATGGTCATGTACTACTTTACTGGGCTCTAAAGCACATTATTTTATAATCAGTTTTTCTCCTCTGTTAGCCATTTGCTCACATTTATAAAGCATTCATTCATTTAACATGTGTTTATTGAACTTGGTTAGATTCCCATCACTCTAACAAAATTTCTGTGACAGTCAAGTTAAAAAGAGGCCAGTCATTGTAGTGCCATTAACCTAGCACTCAGGTGGTAGGAGCAGGCAAGTCTCTGAGTTCAAGGATACCCTTGTCCCATAGCAAGTTCTAGACCAGCCAGGGCTACATAGTGAGACCCTAGCTTCAGAAATTAAAATAAGAAGTCAGACGAGGAAAGACTGCTGGGTCATAGCTATAGGTTTCTGCTTATGGTTACTTGGCCCTGGTGGTACAGAATATGGTGAAGGAAGCCTGTTTGCCTCCTGGCAACACAGTTGGAGAACAAAGAGTAGGGAAGGGCCAAGGTCCCAATAGCTGCTTCAGGGGCACATTCCTGATGACCATTCTTGCCTAAAGGTACTTCCTAAAGGTTCACTCAGTAAAGCCATATACTGGATCTCAACGTAGGTGTGTAGGGGATCATAGGAAACTCTGCATTCAGACACTGATCTCACTAAGCCGCACACACAACTCACAGAGACACAGACCCGTCTAAGGAGGAACAAGTGAGTGCAGAGGAGCACGAGAGAACTTGTCATGGAAGCTGGGCCTGCCTGGACAGATGGCTTGGGGTAAAGGGCTTGCTGTGTGAGTGTGAGGACCAGAGTTTAGTTCCCTGACACTCACGTAAATTCAGGCATGGCGGTACTACCACCTCAGCACTGGTAACAGAGACAGGAAGTTCCTGGGGCTTGCTGGCCAGCCATGAAACAGTGAACTCTCATGCAGTGAGAAACCCTGTCTCAAGTAATAAGGAAGCCAGGTATCCTGGCACACACCTTTAATCCCAGTCCTCGGGAGGCAGATGCAGGCAGATCTGGTCTACACAGTGAGTTCCAGGCCAGCCAGAGCTACATAATGCGATAACAATAACAATAAAAATAAGGAGCATTCTAAAGGAAAACTCCTAACATTGATCTCTGACCTCTATACATGCTCATATGGGTGAATGCACCTGTGTGTAACACAACACACACCACAGAGGCTTGAGATAACGAGATGGCTTAGCAGGTAAAAGCACTTTCTGCACAGGCTTAATAACGGAGTTTGATCTTCACAATCTGTGTTAAAAAAGAAAAAAAAAAAAAAGATGCTATAGCACACATCTTTAGTCCCAATATTCCTGAAGTGAAATGGGAGGTGGAGACAGGAAAATCACCAGGAAGCTCCAGAGAAATGAGAGGGACCCTGCCTCTGACCTCCACACATGCACTAATGACAAATAATAAAATTTAAAGAAACTTAAATAAAATTTAAAAATTTAAGAAACCTTGAGATCTTTAGGAAGCAAAGATGGATATGCACCCTGTGGGTAGAGAAGGAGACCACTTCATGGGCCACAGTAGTATGAGAAAAGGTAAGAAGAAAACAGAGGCTTCTTGGCTCAACTAGCTGTTAAAGACTTGTACTCTCATTGTTAAACTATTTCAAGATGTGTGCATATGCGTGTGTGTGTGTGTGTGTGTGTGTGTGTGTGTGTGTGTGCTCGTGTGTGTGCCTGTGTGTGTGTGTCTTTGGCAATACTTTGGCATTAGTGTAAAATTACTGGATTACTGTACACTGCTTCTTGGTGTGGTGTCCTTCTCCAGGACCACCTCAGTGCATGCAGATGTTACTCACTGTGCTGTGGCTGGAATGCAGAAGGCAGTGTACTGCCAACATGGTACCTTGCACTAAGGTGTGAAGGATCCATGTGACTACTGGGCCCCAGTGAAGGGCCCAGAGCCAAAGAAATAAAATAAAATAAAATAAAATAAAATAAAATAAAATAAAATAAAATAAAAGCACAGGTCACACATAACAACAGAAAGGGATCCTGTTTGGGAGATTAAATAAATAACTGCTACGTATTTGTTTTTAGATCTAAGCTGGAGCCTGAGCGAAATACAAAGAGGAAAGAATCCACATCTGAGAACGCCTCACAGAACACTTCCCTGGACTCTGAAGAAAAGCCTGCTGCTGAGGAGTTGCCAGGTATGAGTCAAGAGAAAAGTCTGGCTTTGTGCTTCTTCCTTCTTACCTGTTGGCATGAATGCAAAGCAGGGAAAGACAGCATTTCGTGACCCATGGTGGTAAACAAAAGAAGTTGAGAGATGACAGTACTTGGTCTGAGGAATGACGTGTTCTTAGGGACTCAGAAGAAGGGCTGCTTTTCTGTGCACCAGCTGGGTGGGCACTGAGAAGGCACCATTGAAGTCCTCTGCTATAGTGGTATAAACCTCCACAATGGAAGTCTGCACTGGCAATGGCCAGCCACACTGCCCAGGGTGGAGTATGCTTTCTCAGGGGTCTCCTCAGCAAGCAAGCCCTTGGGACAAGGTGCAAGTATGGGTTTGTGTTTCTTGTCATCACAGATATAGTAGTGTTTCCGACATGTCAAAGAAACGTAGTTTCCTTCAGGTCTGGATGTCACAGACTGCTTCATTGTGTGCATTCCACGTGCCCTGGATAGTGGTACCTGTTCAGAGCACTGCATCCCTGAGTACAGTGTAGCAAGCAAGCCGGTTTCATGTGGGATACCCACTGCCTAGCAGCTCACTGAAGCTCTGAAGCCTGCACGTCTTCTCTGCCATGTCTGTGACTCTGCCAGCACTGGAGGGCCATAGCCTTTTATCAAGAAGACTCTGAAAGACAGAGCGTGGACAATTATCCGAGGTGAACACGCATAGATGGTGGGTCCATGGTTCACTGGTATGTGGGTTTGGCTGTTTAGGCCACCTTTATCTCATGATTCCCTGCATTTCATAAAAGTTCCACATGCACCAAAGGGCCAAGAGGATGCAGAGGTCCTTTGTGCAGTGAGAACAGCATTTTGGTAGCCCTTCATTGTGCCACACATGCTGGCTGAGTCACAGGCCTCACTCTCTTTGGAGCTATGCTCTATTGTGTGTGTTCTAATAGAGGAGGAAACCAAGATTCAGCTCAAAGTCCAGCACTGAAGCAGCACAGCAGCCTCCATGTGGGTGGTTCTGTTTGCTGAGCCTCAGTCTATTCCTGGCTCATAGGTGCTGGTGTTTAGTAGGCAGGGGCTCTGTATATCTCCTCTGCCTGCCCAGGACTTCCCCACAATCCTGTGAGCACAGCTTCTCAGAAGACAAGGTGGACATCTTAACTAAATTTCCTGAAGCTGAACGCAGCATCCACATTCAGCCATACACCTGCTTGGTAAATCCTATGCAGGCTGGTGACGGCAGGGAAAGCCAGTGCTGACTGAGGACCCAGAGGAAATTGACCTCAAGCCTGAATTGCATGTTGTCCTAGGCTGTGGGCTGGATGTTAGGGACGTCATAGTCATTGGAAATGGCTCTTCTTTGGGCTCATAGGGAAACAAATGAAGTCCATGTATCAACACCTTTCCACTGTGAGTCTGTGAGTGCAAGAGTGCAAGAACAGTGTTGTTCCTACGCTCTGCCTTAGAGTATAGGAAAAAGCATGAGCCAAAAGTTATCTCTGACTGGTGAGCTGTGAGCAGTTCTGAACAGTGTGCAGGAGACAAAGAGCACATATGGAAGGAAGCACCTGGGCCCCTACACTCACACCCATGCTCACTGAGCATCACTTTGCGTGCTTAAACATGGGAGCAAGGAGGTCAACACAAGTCAGTGGGGCTTACTTTCCAAAGGAGACCATCAGAAAGTGCAAAGACAGCCCACAGAATGGGAGAATATTTATATTGTACCAGATATCTGATGAGGCACTTCCATCCACATGGAGGGACACACAGAGACTTCTCAACTCAAAGCTAAAAAGATACCCAGCTGGGAAAATGAGCAAAGGATCTGAATGACAGTTTCTTTTTTTCTTTTTTAACTGAAAAATCTCATACAGTATGTTCTAGTCATGGCTCCCCTCCCTCCCACACAAATGCAAAACCCATAAAAACAGAATGCATGGCATTTCCTTAAAGGAACAGCTATAAGATGACAAATAAGCACTCAAGGACCTAGCATCACCAGTGATCAGGACATGACAGCCACAAGGTACCCCACACCTGCAGAGGGACCAGCATGGAAAAGACAACGTGGTGTAGGGCAGAAGTGGGGAGGCATACCCGTACAGCCCACATGCTGAGGCAGAGCTTGCCTTTAGACCTCAGCCTGGTAGGAATCCACTAGGCATTCCAGAGCTGGAGTGCACCATGGTGTGGCTTACATCTGAAAAGCCCTGAAACTGCTGAGAGGTGGTGTGGAAGCTGGCAAGCTGCACAGTAATCTCTTGCTGCAACCCAGACACAAGACATCTGCTCCTGGGACCGCCCCCACATACACAGCCACACCCACATAGAGCAGAGTGAAGAGTGCTCAGGTCACATTTTGGACTCTGACATCACTTACTGGGTAGTGACTGTGAGTGTGTGTGTCAGGAGCACTTGGTAACTTCAAACTGTGAGGCTGAAGCACTGGTGGAAGGGGCATTGCTGCCTACGTGAGTGCAGCGCCAGGTACAATCTAGCAGCAAGACTGGGGAAGGGAGTCCACATGCTGGCCTACAAGTATTGGGCCTGTGGTGCCTGCTGAGTGTGCAGGTAGAAACAGGGTGTTGATGTTGGGATGAGTAGGGAAAGCTTAGGGCTAGGAGCTTGGGGGAGCCTGGGAAATAGACAGTGTGGAACTATAGCCTGGATGCACCTCTGAAGGGAGGGATGAGGAGAAGCACACCAGGCTGGCCACGGAGAGGCCTTCACCCAACTTCCATGTGTGCTGTTTTCCTTGGTGTTAACAGGGAAAATCTTCCCCTACAGTCAGCTGCTCTCCTTCACATGGCTGTGTGTCTGCCCTTTCATCCATGGCAGTAGAAATGTTTCTTCTGTGTGTAGACATCTGCTAGGCTTTCTGCAAGTGACAGTTTTCAAGCCTGGCCCGTGTGGATGTGTCCTTTGCTTACTTTGCCTTTTAGTGCTTACTTCCTCTTAAAACTGAGATGTCACTAGACAAGCCTGCTCTGGCAAAGAACAAGGTGTAATGGTTCTAGGCAAGGGATGGTCTCTTGTATGTCATATTCCCTCTGCCATTTGGCACTTGCTCATTTAGTTGGCAAGTTTGTGCTTCTGCTCCTGGTTGTCCTGCCACCCCCAGCATTAAAGTCTTTTTTTTTTTTTTTTTTTAAACATTTTGTCTGTCAAGGCTGTGTTCTTTATGTCTCTGTGGTAAGTTGTTTCCCATCTTGGTTTCTGGGTGTTCAGATATGTTTCTCAAGTGAGTCATGGTTCTTCCCCCCCGTGAAGCTCACTGTAGCCATGGAGGATAGGATTCCAGCTCCTGGGAGAGAATGAGTAGTGTCCTAGGGAAAACAGAAGTGGGGACAGAGTTCAGGCAGAGGCTCTGGGGACCTCAGGAAGAGATAGCCCCGCCCTGCCCTACCCCACCCCACCCCACCCCACCCCCCTAAAAAAAAGTAAAAGGAAAGAAAAAAAAGCTTAGAAAGTTCTAGGCAGAAGGGATAGTTAGAAAAAGAAAAACATCTGAAGGCCAGAAATTATGGAGGCCCATGTAGAGTGTAATAACCAAGCCACTGGGGTCAGTGAAGAGCACAAGTTGTAGGAAATAGGGTTGCAGAGGCTGCCTGAGGTCAGACCACAAAGGCCTGGAATGCAGGCAGGGCACCTAGATCTGAACGGTTGGTTCGGTTTACTGTGAGAACTGTGCTTCTGGCTGAGTCCTGAGACCCGGGTCAGGAGGGCTTCAGGTGGCACACTATTGAACCACCTGTAGAGAAGAGAACTTCTCTAAAGAAAAAGTCTGAAATGACCATACTGAAGCCAAGTAGAGACAAAGGTCATGTCAAGAGGGTGGGAGTGTTAGTGTGATGGGTGAGAATACATGTCTCACACACAGAGTGCTGCCTCAGAACAAGGCCACTCTGCCTGAGCATGCTTTGTGCTAGGAATGTCTTTTCGTGTATGTAGCTCTGTTTCATCTGAACTGACATGTGGTGACTGTTTGGGAAGATTTGTTTCTAATAGTAGCTGTGCCTGTCACACAGGGAGGACTCGATCTGCTTTCTCCAGACTCTGATGTGCTGTGCTTTCCCAATCAAATCCTCCTGAGCTCTCACCACCTCACAGGGATAAGCTCAGGAGGAAATAATTGGGGCTGAGGAGAAAAGAATAGGATGCAACATTTGCCTTTGAGTCCCTGGCAACACAGTGATGGAACCCAGTGACCTAAGACACAAAACTAGAATCACCTTTGCGGACAGACTTGTTACAGTCTTCACTTAGCAGTCCTTACCTCCTCCCAGCCAGCCCTACATCCATGTGCAGACTGTACCCATCATGCCGGGCAACAGTTCTTTGTAAGCACCTGTGCTATTGAGGGGCCATTTTGTGCTTGCATTGCACCACCAAAAGGTTTTCAAAACTAAAATATTTTAGGATACTTTTCTAGATTAAAGTGTTCTAGGATGTGTGGCTGCCTGGATAAAGACTTAACACTGTGTGGACTGGGACATGGAGCCGCTGCAGCACATTAGCTAACTGTTCAGTATGGACTACGCTAGAGAACTCCCCTCCTTTTGCTGTCCTCATGTGCCTTTTTCTTTAGCTGCCTATTGAATAAGTAGCTGGCTTCCTATCCTTGCCCACTTTACTGTTTTGTTTCTTAACAGAAAAGTCTTTAGCTGAATCACAGCCTGACCTGGGAGCCTGGGGCGATGGCAAGGGTGAAGATGAGTTGTCTCCAGAAGAGATACAGATGGTAATGCTAACTATTTCCTTTCAGCTCCCTGCCCTGGGACTTTCAGTGAGTGGGAGGTTGTGTGAATGTCCTTTTCCTGATTTGATACTGAGCTTTAAAAGTGTAAACACACTTTATATACACCTACCCACTTAATGTTCTACTTCCTGTTAGGCTTTCAATACATAGTAGCATAGTTAAAACAGAAGTTAGCTTGGATGGTCTTGCTAAGTGTCTTCACCAGCAGCATTGTGGGCATCCAGATTAAATGAGTCTTTTATATTTACCAAGAAGGTGCTTAAATTCAGTTGTGTGTCTGGTGTTGTAGAGACGAGAGGAAAGAATGACTGAAAGATGGCAGGATCAACCATCCGAACAGTGAAAACCTTCTCTTGGTGACCTGTCTGTTGTGTTAAGTGCTATCATTTGTCATCTCTGAGTTGTTTCAAGGGACGAAGTTTTGGTAATGGCTTCCCAAATGGCAGCCTCCTTACTGTGCAGCCATTGACAGTCAGCATTTTAGGACTCATCTCCCTGGACCTTCTTCAGGCCTGCAGTATTCACCACCTCCTCTGTCCTTAGCAAAGTGCAGGAGAGAAAGGCCTTGCCAGCAACCCCCTACTGATAAGAGTGGAGCTGGGTACCCAGCCTTTGAAGATAGGAGGAGCAGTGTTGAACAGAAGCCCTTCTGACCTGGGCTAGGGCCCTGGCTTAGCCCTCAGCCTTTCAGGAAAATTGTTTGTGATGCTGGCTATTGCCCTGGAAGGACCTCTTCAGCCCAGTCCTGTCTGACTCCTATCTTGTCTCCAGTGTAGCCTCTTGGAGTCCTCTGACCAGCCAACTGCCCCAGTGCCCTACTTTATTCTGTCCCCTTCTCTACTATGCTAGCACCATGTGAGCAGAGTCTTGGCTCACTGTCTTTGCCTCAGTCTCTGGCCAGTGATTGGGAGTAGCTGCTAGGTAGGTAAGCAAGTGATGAACGTAGCATAAATGCTACCGGTTCTTGAGAATGGTACGGAAGGCCTGTCCACAGGCCTGCTTCCCTCAGTGTCAGCTGCCCAGCCCAGAGCTTCTTACTCCCCAGATTCCCTACTTCTCCTTGCTTGAAAGAAAAAGCTGAAACAAAGTTTTTCTTCCAGAAAGTAGCATTAAACAGTTGAAAACCAGCATGGAGGAAACCCAAGTAGCAACTGCCTCAAGACCAAAGAATGAGCTTGACTCACAGCCAATTTTAGCTTACAATTGCCTTCATCTGGAACCTCTGTGCCCTCCCGCTTCTCTCAAGGGCAATAAGCCTGCCTCCTAGGGCAAGCGTAATGGAAAGCTATCCCTTGAAGTATAGGTGTGAGAAGACCAGATATTTGAAAGGTTTCTGGGGGGGTCAGGAGAAGAGCAAACATGGAGCTGGGCATTGGGGAGCAGGGAACAGGAGATGATGTATTCCATTTCAGACATCTTGGAAGCCGTGGACATGGCAGAAGGTGTGGACTGTGATAGGGTTTAGGACTTAGGCTAGAGCCATCTTAGGGTTGGAGTATGAAACATGGGCTTAGAGAAGTCCTCTAGAAACACTGTGTACAGGGACAAGAAACAGGGCCATTAAGTGTTCCCTGGGAATATGCTATATTAGAGTCAGGCTGAAATGCAGAAAACAACAAATGAGTTTCATCACAGCTGGATTGCATTCCCTTCTGACAACAAATAATGGCAAGAGTGTCTTACAATCATGCTATTTGTCATAAGCTTATATATAGTAAGTCTGCTAGTGGAAATGATGAGTTATATTGCCTTAAATGTTGCAGATTTGCTAGAGATGATAATGTGTACTGCTCCGTCTCTTCATTGAGAAAAGACACATTTGTCAAGAGTGAGCAGAATGTAAATTTGTGTTAGGCTGCACTCCTTTATATTCTATCATTCTTCATAAAGGAAATAGCCAGAATACTCACAGGGGATTGCCAGAGGACTCTGCCTTTCTCCTGGAGCAGTGATGAGCCCCAAAGGTCTGTTAACCTTTGCAGGCACATGACTTAGAAGCCACTAGTTGTGTGGAAGGGAGGCCTGAAGACAGCAGGGTGTCTGCCATCTCATGGCATAGTCCTTCTGAGATGATGGAGAACAAGGGCTCAGGGACCAGGCAGTCAGCTGTGAGTCCTCCTCCTATTACTGATTGTCTGTATAACTTGGGAAGCAAGTGAGCCTCGATGTGCATCAAGCTGCTCAGAATAGACACCCTGCAGAACGGTAGGGAGTCAAGAGTTGAGAGCTGCTCAGCACAGCCAAGGAGGCCCTGTGCATGATTCACATGGCCTACTCCTGCCACACAGCTGAAGATGAGTGTCAGGATGAGGCTCCCTCCCAGGACTGTTGGTGCCATCTTCCATGTCCTCCTGTCCCAGCCAGACCATTTTCCCGAAAGGCTGGTAGTTTAGCCTGCAGTGTAGGTGACATAATCAGTGTCTGCAGTGCTTCCTAGTTTCTCTTGTGTTGCAGTGGGTGGAACAGGAAGTCATCATGAACTTTTTATAACAGACTACTTAGTGTTCAGCTAATGACCTTCTTTTTGGGGAGTAATCGCTGAGTGTCATATTGTAAAGTCTGACTAGCCCAAATTTAAAGGTCCAATCCTGAAAATGAAGGAGAAGAAATACTATATTATTGGTTTAACATTGAAAAGTCGTTTAGCAAAGTGTGGTCATAGCTCATAATGAAGTTTGGAACATTCCCTCAGGGAGAAATAATGAATTAAGCCCAAAAATGGCAATTTAATTTATTCTTTTAGACAAGGAAATGGTTCCTAGGTATTATAGAATGTTATTTGGTATGCACAATCACTCTCCAGGTGTAAGTCATGGTACAGGTGGATGGGACCCTGAGTTAGCAGAGGTTTTATGGCAGGCTGAGTGAAACTCAGTTGTCTTCTAATGTCAAGCATCAAGAAGATTGCTCTCTTTAAGGGACCACATTACTTTTATGTGTCCCATTCATTTTATTCTAGTAAAGTCACCTTTATTTATTGATGTGTTCATTGATGTGACTTTGAAAGACATGAGTGTGACCTCTTTCTTACATTTTTTTAAATGTATCTATAGTAGGTTTCCCGAGGCAGCTTATGGAACCCAGGCAGCCAGCTAGCATAGCTTTCATACTGTAGCAGTTCACACATCAGGAACATAGGTGTTGGGAGAGTCTGAGTCCTGAGTCCTCACTTACCTTCTCTGGACAACTTGAGATGAGAGTACTTCCATCCTGACTTATTTTCTACCCAGGGGCATTTGGCAGGAGTGACTTTTCTTTTTTTTTTTTTTTTTTAATAAAACTGAGCAAAAGAGGGGTAGATTGAAAGCAGGATTTCCATAGGAAGTTATTACTAATGGACTTGTGTCCTTTAAAACAGATTAGAGCTCAGCTGGAAAGTCTAGCTTACCAGTATCAGAGCAAGATGGTAAAGGGAGCTGTTTGCTTAGCACACTGCATTTGCATCATGGCTGCCCCGAGCGCCCACCTGTGTTGTGTTACTTAGCCTTATCCAGGAGAGAGTATCTCAGGCCCCCTATGTGCTCAGCCATGGAACACATGGATCTGTGGTCACCTAGATCTCAAGCCCGAGATCCTTAGGTGATGCTGAGAAACCAGTGGGGGGGCACAGCTGTAATCTGAGCACTTGGGAGGTGAAGGCAGGAGATCCTGACTAACGAGAGCTGTGAGCCAGCCTGGGATATGAATGAGCCTGTAAAGAAAAGAAAGAACACTGCTGCTTGTTAGCCATTCCTCACTATGACAAATGCCTGAGATGAGCTACCTAAGATAGGAAAGCTGTACCTGAGTGCTCAGTTTCAGAGGCTGCAGCCTGTGGTCCATGGTTTTAATTGCTCTTGTCTGTGAGACAGCATCATGGCGGAAGGGCATGGTGGGAAAGAGCCTACGCCAAGGACATGCCCTTGATGACCTACTTCCTTTTATCATTCTGAATCAGTCACTGAATGAGTAGGCCAGAGCCTTAATGATCCAGTAATCTCTCAATGGCTGGATGTGCCAGCCAGAAACCAACTCTTCATTCAGTATGAGCATTTTCAGGAGAGAATTCATATCTAAACATAGCACATGAATTGGTAAGTATCTTTTAGACTGTGGTCACATTGTATCTCTGAGCATATCCTGCTGTGGTGTTGACCACAGAGACCAAGGCTGTGGTTCAGCCCTGGGCCTGACCAAATCCCTACTTATGTGAGGAGGCAACATGGCCACACAGTCAGACTGACCCTAGAAGAGACTATTCATGAATTTTCCAGAGCCTCATAGAGTGAAACAGCTGCCCCATTGAATCTGAGGTGAAAGGACCTTACAGCATCTGTCTACTTTTTACCTGTCTGGAATCTGTCTCCTAGAGAGTATTCAAGTAGACAGCATACATGTTTTAATGATCTCACTGTCTTAATCATCTTACTGTTCCCAATTTGGTGACAAAAGGCCAAAGGACAGCAATGGAATTACTCACCTGCCCAAAGACACGGAGCTTCAAAGGTGAAGGAGCTGGGATTCCAGCTGTGACGTCACACCTCAGGGTCAGGGAAGGATAATGCTCACAGCTGTCCGCAAAGAAACTGATGACCATCAAGAAGCTGCTGACTAGCTAGGACCACCCAACCATTTTCATGAGCACTTACATCTGGCTTCCTTACCCATGAGGTACATGGCCAACTACCTCTCCCTCCCAACCTTTGGGGCAGGCTTGCCATTCAGAAAACTGCTCTGAAACCAGTGCCAGTGAATGTCCATGCCTGAGCCCTGTTAGACTTCAGTAAGTGCTGACCTTGCACATGCTTAGGGCAGTGGTTCTCAGCTGTGGGTCTTCACTCCTTTGGGGGTTGAACAGCCCTTTCACAGGGTTGCCTAAGACCATCAGAAAACACAAACATTTACATTACAATTCATAACAGTAGCAAAACTTGTTATGAAGTAGCAACAAAATAATTTAATGGCTTGGGATCACCACAATAGGAGGAACTATAGTAAAGGGTCACAGCATTAGGAAGGTTGAGAACCACCGGCTTACAGAAACAGTGTTTTGGAGGTTGTTGCTTTGTTTTCATTAACCGTTTCATTTTAACCTGCCCTGTAGTGGAAGCTGCTCTCCACCGAAGCTTCTGAGCACTGTCTCCACCCCTTGCCACATGGGATGGCTTGAGACATTTCCTTCCCTTCCTTGAGAGGCTGGGTAGTATTTCTGAGGTGGCATACAGAACCCCTGAAGTCAGGTAAACCAGAACCAGGACCTGTGCCTTTGCCTGATGGCTGGAGCTGCTGTGATGCCTTCAGAAGTGACAGCTGCTAAGGCTTTTCTCAGCCTTTCTAGGCAGCGTAGCCCTGAACTCCATGGCCTAACTGGAGGAAACCAAAAAGCTTTGTTCCCAGGCACCAGTCCAGGAATGAGTCACCTAGACAGATAGTTGCATTTAGGAACAGTTTCAAATTATCCAAAGACAAGATTTATTATTTTATAATTAGAGGGAAAAGAGAGAAAATGCGGCCCTGGAAAACAATCCTGAGCATACCTGAGGGAAGTGGTGCATATAAATTAGCACCCACAGCTGAGGTAATTATACATGTTCAGGAAATCCTGGCCTCCTAACTTACTGCGCAGCAGACAATTAACAGCTGATGCTTGCAGACTCAGAGTGAAGGTTTTATTCCCTTACATGGTCTGTGAGAAGCCTAATGGAAAGAGCCACAGTCTGTAAAGCAGCCCACTTTTGTTCAAGTGGTCCTGTTGGGAACCGCCCCACCTTCTACCCTCTGAAGCATCACCATCCCTCCTCCATTTCCATTTTCTGATCTGATGAGTCTAAGGTAGAGCGAGGCCTCCCAGTGTTCTGATGAGCAGCAGGGTTTGTGCAGGGCTCAGGGACTAAAGAAGGGTGGTTCTGTCCCTTGAGAGAAGGTCCCTGAACAAGTTAAGAAATGTCACCGTGAAGCTGCATGCAGGGGAACTCCAGAGAAAGTTCCCATCTTCTCTGTGGCCAGGCCTTAACATGATACCTGTGCTGGAGTCCCCAGCCAGTCAGAAGAGATGAGGGAATGTGACATGTACCTGTGCTCTGTCGAAATGGCAGAGGCTGCCATCACAGAGGTGGGAAGTGCTGGATCACAGAGGGCATGTGCTTTAGACCTCTTCTGCTGGGCCAGGTAGAGCCAACAGGGAACTAGTCCACTGGTTTCATGGGCAGTGGGGTACCAAGCTCAACACTGGCAGCCATGTAGCCTGAGTTCTTTGCAGAGCCTCCTGCTCAGGTGCATCCAGGATCTGGACTTTACACCACAGAAAGAATTTTAGGACAGACAGGTCAATATGAAGCAGACTTGGGCTTATTCTAAAAAGGACGATGGTGCATACCTCTAGGCAGTAGAGCAGCCATAGTACTGTCACACAAGGCTCTCAGGTTCACAGGTCTGTCCCTGTCACAGGCTAAGCAGTCTACAAGCCTCTGTCCCACACCAAGTTCTCTGTGTAAAAATACTACCGCTGGAGATAGGTGGCAGCAGTGGACTCCTCCTAGGAAGAGTGTGTGGAAGCTGCTGTGCCTGCTCCTTCTGCCCAGCAGCTAGTCTACATGTCAGCTCCTCAGACACAGGAGGGGCTCTGAAGCCACTGCAGCACAGTTGCCCCGGGCTGGCTAGCGTTTTCTTCCTAGAGTACAGTACTTTTAAGACAGTCTTCTGACAACGCCCTGTACTGGCCAATGGGACTGGGCAGCGATCCTTAGAAGGTGGGTGGAAGGTCAAAGGTTCCTTGTTACCCCTTTCTTGAGCTCCATCTCATGTCATTCTGAGTATGTATGCTTCTTTGCAGTTTGAACAAGAAAATCAGCGACTCATTGGTGAAATGAACAGCTTGTTTGATGAAGTGAGGTGTGTATATACTAATGGCTTGACAACAGCTTTCCTAGACCCTGGGAGCTTTTTCCATTTGCTTTGGCATCTAAGTACCCACATTTAACAGAACAGGGCTAGCTAGGCCTGTGAGAGGAGACTGGCTGCTATACCAGGCTTGTGGGTACTACAGCATGCAGAAAGAGCGGTTGCTAAAGACAGATCACCCCAAATATGGGACCATACCTACCAGCAGAGGGTTGCTTGGGTGGTGTGGCAGTAAATGCAGTAGGGACCTTGTAAAGGGTGCTTTGCTCCAGCAGTGCCTGCTTCCAGGTGACCAGGCTCACACCCACTTGTCTGTAGCCTCCAGTGAACTTCTAGGGCCTATGTTCCACAGGACTGTTACAGTGCTGTGCAAGCACAGCTGGGTCTTTGCACAGCCTATTCTATTCAGGCTGCAGCCCCTCCCAGCCTGGAAACCTATTTAGGGCAAGGGTGATCCCTAGGACAGCCCCAGAGGTATTCTGTCTCAGAGGCATCTCTCTCCAAGGCCTCCTTCTGCCCATCCTCACTCTGCCTGTGCCCACCCACCTTGCTGTTCCTTCCTCAAGGCTTGAGAGTGCTTCCTTCCATGTTGCCTGCCTGTCCGCCTTTCCCAGGGAATTCTACAGGGAATCCCAGCTCCCTATACCACTCCCACCTTTCTACTCCTGTCACTGACTTATCACCAGCTCTGCTGGAGTAATTTCAGCCTGAGCCAGCTTCTACTTTCAGACCCTCACAGCCCCAGCCCACTCCAGAGTGCCCAAGCTGCAGGAAGCAGGAAAAGGGCTCACCCAGTATTTCAGGTTGGACAAGTGCTTAGTTGCTAAACCAGATGGGATGATCACAAACTGAACTGGAGCATTTTCTTGACATAAGGAGCTAGCTTGAGAGGGAAATTTACTTTTTTGAAGATGGGCTTTCCAGGTGACCATTCCTTTTTTTTCTTTTTATGGAAAGTAACTTTATTTGTTCTAGGGAGTAGGCCAGAGTCTCCTCAAAACCTCGTGTTGGCAGCCTTGGTGACCTTGAGCACATTAATCTGTCTGCTCAGGTGCCTGCACTCTCTCTACCACAGTGACAGTGTTGAAGATCTGTACATCCCTGAAGCAGGGGGATGGACAGGTGCACAGACATACTCCTGTGGCGCTTCTCAAAGCAATTGGCCTTCCGGATGTAGTGGAGAAGGTGACCATGCCTTTCAGTTTTCTACCATGCAGAGGATTTTCCGGGCCTGCCCAGCTCCTCTCCCCATCTGGCATGGCTTCCTATCCTCCTTTGCCATCACCTTCAGGGTTTTTTTTTTTTTTTTTTTTTTTTTAGGAATGTGTACCATCCATCTTAGATTATCAAGAGCTAACATGTCACTTGTTGATTCTTTTTTAAAGGCAAATCGAAGGGAAAGTCGTTGAAATTTCCAGACTCCAAGAGATATTCACTGAAAAGGTTTTGCAACAGGTAAAAAGACCCAGAGGCCTAGCAATTTTGAGTTTTGGCTTAGAACTGTCTGAGAGCTCAGAGTTACCTTCCAGAAGCATCTGAGTGATGCAGATTAGAAAGCATCATGTTTTGTTAGCCAGTCACACCACTCATTGGTCCCAGGCATAGCTTCCAGTCACACCACAGCAACCCTATGGGTACATCTGAGGGCTCTGTGTGGGGCCCAGCTTAGAGCAGAGTGGCCCTTGTGAACTAGAGCATTTGGTGGTAGTGGGAGGGCACACTCCAGGACTGGGAGTCAGGCAGCCCCTCCACACCTGCACTCCGGATCTGTAGAAAGGAACGAAATTGCAGGACTGCTGTTAGGTTCACAAGTAAGCACAGAAGAGCCCTGCCCAGTGCATAATGGAGAGCTGCTTTTCAGTCCACTGTGCTCCAGAAATTAGTCTCTCAGCCAGTCCATGCTGCCTCCACTAGTAGGCTGAGAGGGGATAGGATTGCTTCCAGGTGAGCCTAAGACTGAAAAACCCCTCTCTCTGGGCTGTTGGCTCACTCACAAAAGTGCCTGAAGCTCACAACAGACTTGAGTCAGCGTGGATGAAGTAGAAGCTAACAGCAGTTGGGAATACAAGATCCTAAAATTAAAAGATACTCTTCACAGGTATCTTAAAACCTAAGCCCTGTGTGTGAAGGCCACTTAGCCTGGAGACAGGCTTGTGTGAAACCTCAGCTTGATGGCCATGTCAGGTGCATGACAAAGGAAG